AAAAATAGTGGATACACACATCTAAGAATTCAAAAAAGTTACATAAACTTGATGCTTAATCTCAAATCAGACTGTATTTGCATAAAAAGTGACCCCTACTAGATAGTGGACCCCCATATTATTAGAAATCCAAAAACTTACATAAACTAGATAGACGATTGCAAAATTCTAAAAAAGGCTTGCTAAATTAAATTATAAATTCAATTATTCCAAAATCTATTGAAAAACTCTAATAACAAATAAAAATATAATAGATAACTTCAGATTATTTATTATCCAAATGATAAAAAAATATTTTATAAATAGTTATAAAAGATAATATACAACAGTATATGCGTATTTACAGCCCCTACATGTAAGCACGTTTCAATAAAAAATTTATATCTAAAAGCATTTTTTTTTAACAGGCCTTGAAGGACAACTCAAACATCATTTTATATATATTTTTCTTTTTCTTTCAGAGTAATAACCGTTATAATAAAAATTAGTAAATACATAGTTCATTAATAAATTGTTAATAAGGAAGTTACATGAAGGGAATAGGTTTTTTTTTTTTTTTTTTTTTTTTTTTTTTTTTTTTTTTTTTTTTCCCAAAAATGCATTAAAAGGAATTGTGTAGTGGGGGCAATAGCTGACGTCATAAAAGGCGGCAACATTCGGCTGTTTTCGGGATTCCATGAACAAGTGTGATCGAAGTGATTATGAACCTCTCGTAATCCGTACGGAACTTATGTGAAATAGTACCCTTTTTTTAATTTACAATTTTATGTACTGCACTAGCACTATATAAATTTCTTATAATAAAAGTAATGGTGGATATCAAATACCAATAAAAAAAATTGTTTCTAGTCAGAATATAACAAAAAAATTCAGTCTGCAAGACTTGAATCGCAGATATTTTGAAAAGCAAGACAGAAAAATTGAAGTTTCTAGACAGAAGATAACCAAAAAATTTGGTCTGAAAGACTTGAATCGCAGATATTTTGAAAAGTAAGGACATCGGAGAAAAGGCAAGAGGTTCGAACAATTATTAATAAGCCTAACTTGAAGAAAATCTTGTAGTTTCAGCAGGTACTAGTTAAAAAAATCGCTATTTCTTTGACCACAATAAAAAATTAAAAGACTTATAAAAGAAAGCAGGTTGAAAGAAGACTAGAATTAAATTCACCAAATAATGGTCTATCATGAAAACATAATTTTAAAGAAGAAAAAAACACAGAAACTAATCAGTTCTTAATAATGTCTAATCAGTCTCCTTTTCAATTCGATATGTAAATATTTTCATTACTTCAAATTTATTTTATGTTTTAAATATGATTATAAATATGTAGAAGGTTTCAACTTCTAAAAACAATATGAGTGTAAATAAAATACAAAATTAATAAAATTACTTTACACGTTATCTTTTAGTGAGAAAATACGACTTCTTTCCAGTAGAAACCACTCTTTGTTCGTGGCTCTAACCCCTTATAGAACCTTGGCTTCCTCAACAATGCCTCCCCTATTATCTCTATTAACAGTCTGGCTTCTCCATTATCAAATTCCCCTCTTCTACAGATCATCCTCCACAGCCAAGGCCAGACAGACCTTCCTCTCCATATTTTGCCTCATAGTTTCTCATATATTAGTTTTTTTGGTTATCTATTTTCTGCCATCCTTTCTACATATCCAAACCATCTTAAGGTACTATTTTAGCTGGCGCTGCTCGGCAGTATAGGTATGAGGTCATATCTAAGCTGCTCCTATCTGACCGCTCCTGAAGCAGTGGAGCTGTTGGCGGCTCGGCGGTTCTAGGTTATGTTATCATATCAGAGCATTGTTTTGATGATAACAGTCACATTGATACGTTTTATTTCCTATGTTTCTTTCAAGTTTGACAAAATTATAAGAAATATTGTTTAAAACTTAAACAATGCAATTATTTTTTTAAGGTTTAAATTCAAATATACCTAAATCCAAACAATATTAAATAAATAAAAGAATAAAAAAGCGGTAGTAAGAGATAGTAAGTCCATTTTTTTAATCTTCGAAGATAGAACGAAATGTTCGAAGGTTATAGGCAGATTATAACAACCCCAGTGAGCAATTTCAGCGAAATAGCTAAGGAACAGCGGTTGGCAGCGTGAAATAGTGGTCGCTGCGGTGGGCAGCACCAGTGAAATGGTACCTTTATGGGGCTAAGTTAACATAAGTGACAATATTTGGTTCATTATATAGTTTTTTAAGTTCTTTATTATTTCTATCTTCCATTGGCCACTTATATATGGGTCATTCTGCCATTTCAATTTAAGAGATTAAAAAAAATATAATTAAGTGTAAACATTTCTTTTTTCACAATTCACTTCAAGATAGAATATTTATGATAATAGCAATAAATCTCTTCATAGCGGTCAGATAAAAATAGTGTTGCTTTAATATGATTGAATTAAAACCATGAAGGTTTATCGTGTCCAATTCGATCCCACATTTAAATCCTCCCTCCTTATACATATCCCTCTGTTTAAAAATGTCATAATTGCAGGTGATCTCAACACCAAGCTCCTTTCAGTCTCTCCGGACAGAACATACCACATTGACCTGTTTTTCTCCCTAGACCTATATATTGTACCTTTTCAACCCACCCATCATGCCCAGTTCACTGATACCTGGCTAGACTTATTTATCATTGATTTCTCTCAAAACCTATTATCCTCCATGCAAAACACTGTTTCCTTTCTTTCATCCCATGTGATCTTATCGAAATCTCATACAATGTTATTATTCCTACCATTGTCCCCAAACAAATTTCCTGGACAGATCTCAACTCCCTAACCATTGAAAACATCAGACCTTATCTCGATCCCTTATCAGTTTCCTTAGAACCTATCTACTCGATTTCTTCCATCAATGACATGGTGGACCACCTTTCCACTAACCTTCTTGATTTCCTTAACCATCACGCTAACCTTAAAACCCGTACTTTTAGACGTCCTCCTGCTCCTTGGATAAATTCAGAAATCAGAGATGATGAGAGGAAGAGAGGCTGCCAGAAGACGACACAGACGTACACGACTACCCCAACATTGTACTATATTCAAAACTCTACGGAATAGTACAGAAATATTCTTATGCCGGTCCAAAGCTCAATACTTTAACAATGTACTATCACAAGCACCTAATCCTAAATACAAATGGACAATCCTCAGGGAACTCTCTGTCATAAGCTCCAAAACCTACACACTTTATCCAGTAGATCCAAACGAACTAAATACCTTTTTTGCAAACCATCCTACTCTGTATCCACATCTGACCCCGTATCTTACCCCATCACTGAAACCTCCTTTGATCCAAATAAGTTTTTTTTTCTTGATATCTCTCCAACTGATCTACTCTCTACTATCCTTAAATCCAAAACCAACGACTATGGTCCTGACCAAATTCCTATAAAAATAATTAAACTGCCTATCAAACTTACTTCCTATACCCCTACACATCTACAATTTTTCCCTCCTAAATTCCATTTTCCCAAAAGCATGGAAAAAAGTCATTGTCCGGCCGTTGAACAAAGTCCCAGCTCCTTCACTAGTATCCGACTTCAGACCCATTTCCATTTTATCCAAGCCTCTAGAAAGATTAGTTCACTCTCAGTTGAACAACTTTCTAGAGCAAAACTGTCACCTCAATCCTCTACAATCCGGTTTTCGTTCCCAATACTCCACCCAATCTGCCTTATTAAAAATTACCTAAGACCTACAATCATCCATAGACAAACAGAAAATCTCCATCCTAGTCCTTTTCGACTTTTCAAAAGCCTTTGACTCCGTCAATCATAATATCCTATAATAATAATATTACCAAACTCCAAAGCCTACCTATATCGAATAGTGTTCTGAAATGGTTCCTCTCCTTTTTATCCCATCATTCCCAGACAGTAGTTATTCCTGACAAATCTGCTTCCTCCTCTCTTCAATTAACACAAGGTGTTCCTCAGGGATCCTCACTCTCTCCAACTCTGTTCTCCATTTATAATAGTGATCTTCCTGACTCCATTAGTCATTCCCACAAAATAAACACTATGGTAAATGTTATAGCACAATTTCAATGCATTTCCAGGTTTGATATTAGAAAATCATTAACATTGAAACAGTATCGTAAAATATTTTGAACCGCATGTGTTGCTTTTATATCCAACTGGTGGTGTGTTTTTAATAAATATGTATGGTTTCACCTTATATTTTATAATAGTAGGTATATTACACTACAAGCATATTTAAATGCAACGTTAAGCCTAAATTTCAAGGCAATGGGTGAAGAACCAATGAACATTTACATTTTTATTTGTCATAAAATACCCAACACAAAATTGAACATTAAACAATACATTAAATATTTAAAAAATTGATAATAAAATTAAACATGAAAAGATTAGTAATTAACACAAGATATTGGTCACTTTCATACTCTTTCGAATAAATTCAGAAATTTTCTGTGTTCCATGAACACTATGACCAAAGTGATCATGAAGTACAACTAAACTATGTGGAGTAGTAGTCAACTAATACCAATATGGACATAACAATCCTTACAAGGAGCTACCCATCAGCAAAAGAAACAGTTGTATTTAATTTCTAAATAAATACACTATATTTTTTACTTAGATTAGTTAATAATAATGATAAATTAATTAAGCAATTAATCAATTAAACTGTTAATGATAAACAACTGAAATTATCATTTTAAACTTACTGATCATTATTTTGTTCATCAACAGACGTTAGCCCACAAGCAGTTTTATTTCCATTCCTTGACAAATGTCGTTTGAGATGTCTGCGCTGTTTGAAAGCCTTACCACATTTGTTACAACGGACTGCTGCTTCTTGGACATAGTTATGGTCCCTTTTAAACGATTCTGGTTCAACTATTAAACAGAAACAAAAATAGCTAAATAAAATCATGTAATTACTTAATTAAAATTTATGTTACTTATACAGATGGATGCATTTAGGTCTACAAATAACATCTTTCTTTCAATTTGAAAAAATAAGTATATTTTATTAATATTAGAATAGATGAACAGTAATAAAAATCAAAATCAATGAAAAAATGCTACTTCTAATTTAAGATGATTAATGTATAAATGTATGTGTTCATGTGTGCATAACATTTTCTAAAATAAATTTAATATACAAAAATTTCTGTTTCCTAAAACAAATTTGAATTGATAAAGCAAAGAAATCAAACTAAAAGATGATCAAACTAGAGAAAAATGAAAAATATTGACATAATAAAAGAGATTTTTAGCTAAATGATGGATTTTCATTACACTATAAAAACTATACAATAAAATTTTATGTCTAAAGATGCTGCAGATGATGGGTAAAATAAACTAGCAAAATTAAGTTGATTCCTCCTCACTATTGAATTCTAAAACATACAATATTAAAATTAAATTAAACAAAACATGTGCTACCGATAAATTTGATATTAACGTATAATTTAAGTTAAAAAAGAATTTATGATATTCTTCTTTTTTTTGTCTCAGTATAAAACCATCCAAGTAAAAAGTGTGTTCAATTGGCCATTTCATCATTGCCTACATATTAAGCACAGAAATTGATAGTTAATTTTTCTATAGTATATCCATGATATGATAGTATATCAATGATAATGTCATCTATGAACATTATTTTTGTTCTGAAGATTCAGGATTTGACAGTTATGCAGCTTTAAACTGAGACCAATGATATGCAATAATACATTATAATAAACTTCAAAACACATTATTTTAAGCTTTGTTGTAAAGTACAGATATCATGGAGTATATATAATATAATAAATGGGGTAATATACTTGTACATGTTCCATGGAAATTAAATTGTTTTAAATATAATAATCACAGTACTCCTTCTTTCAGCAATATGAAAAAGTCAGAAATATTCTTAATCTTCCTTCAAACTATGATGCATATATCAATCAAGTCACTAACAATGATTTTTAAAAAAGTTACTCTAGGTCATTTTAGTAAACATTACTGATATTAGGAACAGTTGATAAACATAAACGCTACCACTGAATTAACACTGTTTCGGAATTTAATGGTAAAGATGAGCTTACTTTATGAAGGGTAAGACACAGCTAGAGGGATAAGAATAACCTAAATTGAATAACCAACAGAATTTCGTTTACTAAATTAAGTAACTTAATGAATTTTCAACAGAATATTAATTAATGTGTCATTAAAATTATTAACAGTACTTAGTCCGAAACAAACATCCGGCTAGGTTATAACTAACGAAGTAAGATGGTTAACAGCCCGGCGACTATCAGAAATGAAGTAGTGCAATAGTAACGTAGGCGATCATGATGGTATTGCTCTTGTATATCTTCTTCATTCTAGAGAAAGAAAATATATATATTAAGCAATTTATCATTTCCAGTTGGTTTTAATAGAACTAATAAGTAAATATTTTTCCTTTCATTTACCTATTTGAGAATTCCGGGCCGGAACTACAGCAAGTGGGCACTTATCACCAAACGGCGTAATTTAGAACTCAACAAATTTTGTCCAATTTTTTTTTTTATCTTAAGTAAAAAATATTTCTTTCTACCTTTTGGTTGGTTTGGCATTAGTTTTGACCTCAGTCATTGACATGAGTTAATATTATCTCATGATAATGTTTATTTCGAAATACATTAACTAAAATATTGAATAATGAATAGTTGACCGTTGCCTTATTAAGGAAGTACTAGGTAAGATAGTCCTTATTAACTAGAATACAACCATTTATGAACAAATTTTTAACAATATCTAATTTTAACAAAATCATTACAAAATACATAAACAAGCCAAACTTTCCTAATATATTAAAAACTTTTATTTATTTATATCGCATATATTTGTAAATAGAATAGAATAGAAAATAATTTTATTCTGGGACGAAGTCTCTTCAGAATAACAAAAAAGTACAGAAATTAAAATTTTACATCTGGCCAGATAAAAACAAACATAATAAGTAAAGATAAAGATAAATCAGTAAAAAAAAAAAAAAAATATTAGTTATACATAATATACACAAAATAAAATAAAATAATCTATATACAAAACTCTCGAAACCATACTAAGCTACTTAAAACTATGCACAATGGTAAAATATAAATAAACCCTTTTAGAAAAAATTCAAAAAAAAAAATGTAAATTCTTCTTAACAGTAAAATCTGTGTTTCTGTTGAAAAAAAAAATATAAAATAAAAAAATATGTAATTTTACATAAAAGGTTAGCTGGTATCTAACTGTTTTTGGAACAGGAATTGGAATAGGAGGGTTTTGAATGTAGATAGGGATAAAGAATGTCGGATTTTGATAGGAAGAGAATTCCAAAAATTAACAGAGCGAGCAATAAAGGAGTTTTGGAACGAGGCAGATCTGTGAGAAGGAATGTAAAGGTCGGAAGGTCGAGATTTTGTGGAGAGAGAGAGTGGATTGATGACTTGAATTGGAGAAGATTGTAGACGTTGGAAGGAAATGATTGTTGATGATATGATAAAGGAATGTACCTAGGAAATATTGTCTTCGAATGGAGGGGAAGAGCCACTCTAACTCAGTGTAGTGGTGAGAGACATGGTAGTATCTCGGGGCACCACTAGCGGATCCAGGATTTATTTTGGGGGGGGGCTTCAGCCCGAAAGTTTTTTTTTTCATAAAAATAAAAATAATTACTTTGGAAAAAAAGAAAGAAACTAACTACCTGTATGAAATGGTGTTTAAGTTATTCCTAAAGCCCTTTTAAATGTAATTACATGAATAATAATACTTTAAGAGATACTTTTTAAATATTTTTTTCGATAAAACATGGTTATATTTTACCATTTTGGGAGGGCTTCAGCCGGAAAGCCCTCCCCCCCCCCCCGTATATCCCCTTGTGCGGGGCACCAATTACAAATCTCACGCAACTGTTCATTAATCTTTTATCTCTTTTAACTGTTCATTAATCTTTCATTAATCTGTTCATTAATCAGTCTGTCGCGGAGCTCCACCGAGAGTCCATCATACACCACACAGCTGTAGTCAAAGTGGGGGAAGATGAGAGAGGAAACGAGGAGTCTACGCGTATGTTGAGGCAAGAGATGGCGGAAGCGATGGAATAGTTTGAGGGTAGAATTTGTCCGTCGGGAGATGTGAGAAATATGGTGATTCCAGGAGAGGGTTTGATCAATAAATAGTCCTAAATTTTTTACAGAGGAGTAGAAGGAGATTGGCTGGTCACCAAGGTTTAGTATGGGAAAGTCGGTATAGGATCTAAGGAGGGGCGTGGAACCAATGATAATGGCCTGAGTTTTTGAAGCATTTAACCTTAATTCGTTTAAGTTCGTTACGTTAGTTCGTTTAAGTTAACACAGATTCGATTTAGGTCTGCTTGGATCTTAGTAAATGCCACCAATAGGTCAGGGGGAGAAAAGGATAGGTATATTTGAGAATCGTCTGCATAAAGGTGGTGGGAACAATGGATAATTGAGTCATGGAGGTATTAATATAGGAACTAATATATATATATATATTAAGCCTATTAAAATAATTAATTTTAGGCTAATAATAAAGCAACTGTGTTAGAGAAATATTTAATGAAATAAAATTCAAATATTACATAATATAAAACAATTTAAGAAATAAATTAAATTTTGTTTAGGTGATGACGACATTGCCCGGTGGCACCAAATATCTAAGACCGGTACTGACTATACCTACTATTACTTCTTCTTCTCTTCTCTCACTATCTCCTGTGTGCTGCTAAGCGTGGAGTAGCTGCTTCTGACCCTCTTGTCCAATGCTCCCTGTCCTGTGCAAGCCTTCTCATCTCCGGTAAGGTGCTTCCTCTCGCTGTGCCAATCAGGTCTGCATACATAAGCCTTGGCCTGCCTTGAGGTCGCCTTCCTCCCGGTCTTGCTTCTAGAAGCCACCTGGCCTTACGGTCATCTCCCATTCTATTAACATGCCCGTACCACTTCAACTGCCCTTCTTCAATCGTCTCTAGGACGGATCTAACTCCTAGTTCATCTCGCACCCTTTCATTCCTTATTCGACCTCGCCTGGTTTTTCCCAATATTTTCCGTAGGAATCTCATTTCTGAAGAGACAATCTTGCTTGGCATGGCGATCCAAGAGTGTCCAGCTCTCCGATCCGTATAGTAACACTGGGAGAAAAACTGATTTGAATAGCAGAATCTTCGCTCAACTCCTGCTTTCCAATGAGAGTCATGGATATTTGGTAGTATATTCCATTGGCCTTTTGGAGTCTATTCATGACCTCCTGGTCTATTCATCCATCCCTGCCAATCATTGTTCCCAGGTAGCAGTAGGTATCGGTTTGCTCAAGGGTCTCTCCATTGCAAATGATTCTAAGACCCTTGTTCCTTCGTCCAACACACATGATCCTGTTTTTGGAGGGATTGACCTGCATGCTTCTGATTTGCAGTTCTTCTTGCCACTCATTCACAGCGACCTGGAGCGATTCAGCCGTATCTGCAACCAATACCACATCATCTGCGTACAACAATGCCTGTATCAATACTGGGGTCATATTACAGTATCCCATTATTGCTCTGGGTGTCCTCCTTTTACAAAATTTCCAAATGGATTCCATGAAAATTATGAACAGCAGGGGGCTCAGGCTATCGCCCTGTTTAACTCCCCTAAAGAAATAGAGTGACTTAGACTCAGTGCCGGCTAGCCTTATTACTCCCTTTGGGTCTTGGTACACTGACTTAATTGCACTAATAATATTTTGTGGGATGTTCCTATCTTGCAATGCATCCCATATTTCCTGTCTAGGAACATTGTCGAAAGCCGCCCGTAAATCTAGAAAAGCTAGGTATACTGCTTTACCCCTATCCTATGCCCTCTCTACAATCATTCTCAGAGAGAAGATATGATCTTGTGTTTGCCTGCCGGGTCTAAAACCTGCCTGTTCCTCTTCCAGATTTTCTTCCACCAATTTCCTTAATCTTCGTTCCAAGACTCTAGTGTAAACTTTGTATACCACCGATGACAGACATATGGGTCGGTAATTATCGCATACACTTTGGCTTCCCTTCTTATGGATTGGGATAATGATGTTGTTTTCCCATTCTATGGGTATCCTTTTGAGATCCCAAAACCTTTTGGAATAGTATTTGGAGACACTTGACCAACTCATTTCCTCCATATTTTATAAATTCGGGTGCAATCCAATCTGACCCAGCTGCTTTTCCCATCATTACTTTAGCAATGGCTGCTTCGACTTCCTCCTCTGCTATGGTGTCATCCATGTCGGGAACTTCTGGTTCAGTTCATCTACATCTTCTACGGCAATCTCGAAAATTTTGTCACCTTTCTTCCTTTCTGGATTTTTCTTGGAAGTATTTCCTCCAAACCTCCAATATGTCCCTGTCTTCTATCACCAGCATGCCATGCTCATCCTTTACACTTTTCACAGGCTTTGCTTTTTTTGTTCCTTAGTGCTCTTGTGATGTGCCAGAATTTCCTTATATTTTCTTTGTAGTTTTTATCCAGTTCTAGTCCGAATCCCTCCCAAGATTTTCTCTTCTCTTCCTTAACTATTCTCTTAGACTGGTTCCTTTTCTCTACGTACAATGCCCAATCTCCGGGCGACTTGCTTCTACAGTTCTGTTTTCTTTGCAGTTAAGACTCGTTTCACATCCTCGCTCCACCACCTAGTTTTCTTAGTAGTAGGTCTTATTTGCTGTAAACCACATACTTCCTCGGCTGTCTTGAGTATACTAAATTTGATTTGCGCCCAAATAGGGTCAACATCTGCGTCCCCATTAACTTCTTGAAGTTGGATTTGAAGGCAGCTTGTATAAGCCTGCTCTTCTCTTAGCTTGTTGACAGCCATCCTATTATATGACTTATCGATCTTTTTTCGTGGTTTTACTATATTGGAGTCAGCAACCAATAGCCTGTGATCAGTATTCTTTACCTTACGTCTTTTAAGTTCCTCCACCAGTTCTCTCTCCTTACCCGTAAGTGACGTTATATTTCAATTAGCAAAACGTAAGTCCTTTTTCCTGCCGCGTCTATAACCATTTGACTGTCCGGATCTGAAACTGCTTATATTTCTTTGAATCGATTTACTCTAGATGGGTGATTGGCCCGATGCTAGAGGCCCCATAACATCGGGACGACTGGCCTCCTGAATATTTGTATCCTCTCAGGAGAAAGGGTGGCCGGGCTATACCCTCTTCACTCCCAGCACTGGGTACGGGTCTTTATTCGTTGTATTCTGACCACCCATCCTAGGAGGGATCCCCATCCGCCACCTGGAGGACACGCTCCCTAGCGGGCATGTTCCGCCGAGAGCCTTCTATTACTACCAGTTTAAATTTTTGTAAAATTGTGTCAATATTCTTTCGTTTAGACCAAATTTTCTCTTCATCAGTTGATGATGAGATATGTTTAAGAAATGTGGTACAAAATCAAAATTTTGAAAATAGTGCAGGTCTGGGTTATTATAAGGTAATATACATACATATCTATTTAATATAAGAAAGAAAAAATAACCAACAATAAAAATCTAGGCCGACAAAAAAAAATAAAAGTCTGTCTAAATGAAAGGATATTCACACAGTTTTACAAAAATTTAGACTGATGGTAATAGTATGTATAAAGAAATGTTTGAAAACGGCCAAGGGACCGAAACTTTATAAATAATAGGGTGTATAAAAAAAAATCAAATTCAAGATTTAACAGGACTCTAGATGTTTTAATCCTATTTAATACTTACCAATACTTATTAATCCCTTTAGAACATTCTCTAAGCTTGTTCAATCCCATTCGAATTCTTCAAAAAAGCCTCAGTTTAGTTATTTGTTTAACAAAACAAACGTGAAAGTGTCCCACGAAATTCTCCTAATTTTAAGGCATTCCTGGAAAAAAATTTCACCCAAAGCAACGCGTGAAATTATTAACTATGAAGGGGAAGGCGTAAGAGCGTTATCCTGTTTTGATCAAAAGAAAAGGAATTTTATTCGAACAAGATAATGCTCCTCCTCGCACTTCCCATCAAACCAAAGAAAAGTTTAAAGACCTTCATGGGTTCGAACTCCTGCCTCATCCACCATATAGTCCACACCTAGCACCAGGGGTGCCCAGAAGGGGGTTTCTTGGCGTAAATTGCGCCATTAAATTTTTTGAGGATAGCATATTTTGAAGGATTTTTGAATTTTTGAGGGGGGAAATTTCGACAGGTTTATGACTTTTCTGATTAAAGAAGGAGAAAACATGGAACAGACCGGAGTAAGTCTAATTGTATATGATCTACAAATTTTCATATTCTACCTAAGCTTGCTCTGTTTTTAAGAAAATATGAAAAATAAAATATCTTGGGAGAAGGGGGGAGGGTAGGTTCTTGCGCCATTGATCTTGGGGGAAGGGGCACCCCTGCTTCGCACCATCGGATTACTATTTATTTGGATCCATGGCCCAATTTCTTTAAGGAAAAAAAATTGATAATTTTGCGGAAGTTGAGATTACGGTCCAAAAGTTCTTTGACAGCCATTCCAAAGAATATTATCAACGTGGGATCGAACAATTTGCTAGCAAATGTCTGATGACGGTAGATAATAATGGACTATACTTCTATACTTCGAGTATTAATTGTATTTTATATCAAAGAAATAATAATACAAATATTTGGTTGTAAAATGGTTTTTTTTTTTTATAGTCCCTATTATATGTATGTTATATAATTAAATAAAAGTTTTAAATACTGAATAAGGAATTTTTATTTGTTAATGAACTCTCAGATCAAAAATATTTACAACAATTTATTAATTATTGTCAATTAACTATTCATAAATTAGTACTATTGCTCCCATCTCATCTTTTTATAATATATATTATTTATATTAAAAAAGTAATTTGAAGATTTTGTACTTATTGACTTATTATACGAAGTTTATCAACCACAAACACATACAAAATATTTTCTTAGGTATGCAAATTTATATTTTGATAAAAAAGTTTAAATTTGTTTTAAAATGATTTAAATCGTGTCATTATTTATATTAATAAGTTATATTTATATTGTGTTTCTTTATAGAACAAAAATTGCATTTATACTACAAATTAAACTCATTTTATTTCTGACATATTAACATAAAACGCGCCTACTGAAGTTTTCACTTAAAAAACAATTATAAAAAAGGGTTTTATGCATGGATTGAACTAATAAGCAAATGTACGTTATAAATTTATTTTAAAAAATAATTAATAAAATGGAGCATACATTAGTACGAATTTTCAAGGGTATGAGGTTTTAGATGCGCCGATTTGTCACTGACGAGTGGTAAGACTTGGCAAGTGGATCTTGTCTTTTTTCCAACCTTTCAAGGCTATCTTATGGTTTTCGTCGGATAATTACCAGGGTGGGAGTGTCAAGATTAATATCCCGAGACCGCCAATCAATAAATAATAGCTGACCCATGTGGGAATCGAATCCACAACGTTTAGAACAGGGATCTCTGAGATGTAAACCGCGACGTGTTCAGTCTTCACAACCTCAATTAAAATACTAATATATAATGTTAACTTATTGCATAAGGGATGACAGGAGGTAAAAGAAGGAGCGGTAAAATTAAGTTTGCATCTGCTGGAAAATTCTAGTTCGGACCTAGTATGTATATACAGTAAGATATAGTACGTACTGCGACCTCTAACCATTTCGAAACAGAGTTTTTAACGGAAATACACGTTTTAAGGTCTCCTAAGTGCAAATAACCAAGTATCGCAAAATATACTGTCAGCACTTAGACAGGGGGAGGGGGAGGATTACCACGCTTGCCTATCGATTCAGCGCATATTAACCTTTTATGGATTGGTGGATCGTATGGCCTCAAATCTACCATCTCAATTCTATTCATCGTGTAAAAATCACGCAATGCTGCGTTGTGTTTTTGTTGCAATCTACAGTTAATTTGTCCTTCAGTCCAAACATTTTGCGCAATACTTTATTTCCAAAAACCGCAAAACATTGTTCATTCCTTAAGGTAAGTGGCCACGTTTCGCTCCGAACGTTTTATAAAGAACCGTAAACATGATAAAAAGTTTGGTAAATTTTTAAATTTCGGGATAGATGGTAGGAGCTAAGTAATTTTGCAAATTTCCAAATCGAAAAATAACAACCATTTCCAGCCTCTAGCCTATCCTGCAGTTGGGGATCCTGCGCCCTCTTATAGATTTTAAGAGGAATTTATTACTCTAGCACTATAATTAATTAATATTTGATTATTTAGACATTTGAAAAATAAATTGAATATAGGTATATGGATGGATGTGTTTGTGTATGAGTATTTACTTATAAAAAAATAATGTAGCCTCCATTATCACTGCCTAACCTTAATGCGGACTCTAATGATAAAAAGATTCCTCACTCATGACCTGCCCTTAATTTCCTCTTTAATATAGTTTTTCTAATTATAGATATCGTCAATCCTAACATCTAAATTTGTCTACGCGTACTCTCTTCAATATCTATCTCACCAAAATCGTATTTCGTAAAGTTTGTATTATCAGTATTTCATTTGACCCGTTCTTTACCGGGTTTTATCAACGTAGTTGTATTCAGATTTTATAGTTTCTCAATCTTTACTTAACAATACCAAATCTTCAGCTCACCCGAGCATAGGTGTTTTTCTACCTATGTTCAAAGGTTTTTCAGTACATACCATCTCTCTAATGGAATGGCATGTCCTAGCGCTAAATTAAACTAGATAGATAAAAGGAAATCAACTGGTTTTAAATCCAGATAAAAAAAAAATGGGGTAAGGATGTTGATGGTTCATAACTTTTTTGATAAATTGATGTTCATAAATTTTTGAAAAATCACACCTATCAAAATTTAATCAATAACTAGTAACGGGACCGAAACTAGAGAGGGGCAATTGAGTAAGTTCCGGATGGAACTTCTGTTCGGTTAGGGTTCAATATATAACTAACCATTATATTTGATCTCTTCAAATAAATTAAATTTGAGTACTCTGATTGAAATAAAATAAATTTTATTTCAACACATAGCTTACAAAGATTTTAGATATCTTTAAAGTTTTAGACTCTTTTAGGAAGGAGACCACGCGGACGCCCCAGACTCACGTTCCAGGATTACATTCAAAGGATTGGATGTAAAAGAGGCAAAACCCTTAATGAGATGAAGCGACTAAGCACGGACCGGGAAGAGTGGTTGAGGCTCCTCGACGCTAATTAATGGCATAAGAGGAAGACAAAGAAGAAGAAGAAGACTCTTTTAAACTGAATTTTACAACACTGGTTTTCACATCTGAATATTTTTCACAATATGAGATAATTTAAGTTTTATATGATTGACAGTTTTGACTGACTCTGATTTGACATCCTGAGGAGTTTGAATTGTTTCTTACGATTCAAAAATGATAAAAATAAGGAGAAACAATCTTTAAACCTAAGAGTCCTTTTTAAAGTTCTACCATTCTACCTCTTGTTACTCTGCTACTGACACCAAAGACATCATTTACACTATTAGAACTGCAACTATTAGAACAAAAGTCAGTCTTGTCTCTCCATATTTTCCCAGCAATCAGCAGTGCTATTCCTATCAAGTTTTGACTCAAGTCATCAACTAGCCTAAATAATCAATTCTCTTCTTTATTTTTGAAATTTTCTCCTCATTTAAAACAAACTCTTTCATAGGTCTACATTCACAATTCTTGTAAAGCCACTCAGGACCTTCTTTAGTGGTCTCAAGTATTTTCAGACAAAGGGGAAGTAAAAGTAAAAATTATATAGCCTATATTTATTTACATTGCATTGTGGGTATTTTTATTTGTTTAAATACCCTTATATATATATACCAATTTTAATTTT